ACTAAAATCGATTTTAATTAATTATTGTTTTCAAGCAATTAAGAGAAAATTATTTATTCAAAAACAAGAATTTGAGTATTTTGTTATAATTTTTATTCTTATAATTATACTTTAATTAAACACAATTAATTCATCGATTCGGCCAAAATTGTGTTTTTTATTAAGCAGTTAAACTCCAAAATTCGTTCGCAGCAAAAGCAAAATTAATAATTTTGTATCTAATTTAATTTTCAATTGCGTCTTCAAATAATTATAACTAAGTATTCAATATAATTAATTTTCGTTTTGTTTGTCAAATTTCTATTATTAATTAATTAATTCCAATTAATGAAGTAATTAAACAACAACAAATTGTATTTCTTTAGATAGGAGTATTTTTTAACTTAGTGTTTATAAAAAATCAAATTAGATTAATTTTAATTAAGACAATATTAAATTCAAAGCCCAAATTGACTAACTACAATTTATATTAAATTAAATAAATTGCACTTTTTTTGGTTATTTTTATTTATTGAGAGCTCAATTTCCATAATTATAACAATTAAATCTAATTGTGATGACATCAAAACCAATTAGAGCGTTGCCAAAATTTTTGACCGGCCAAAAAAAATCAATAAAATTATCTCTGATAAAACTAGGAAAGCTGTGCAAACTTAAAACTGTGATAAAACAACCAAAATGGTTAAAAACGCCCAAAAACACACATAGCAACCTGTAAACAACCCCATCTCGTACCTTAGCGACCTGAAACAGCGCCCTCGGCCTGTGGTTCTTCCCCCTTGTCATCTCGCACCACTTTTCCACAAAATTTCCACTTATTTTCCCGACATTTGAGCGAAAATCGCACAGAAAACTGGCAAAGAAGCGACCAAGACGTGGTACCTGCACAGGTGTAGCGTAGCGGTGCGTGGCGGAGAGACGGGAAGTCGGATCAAGGCGGCCATTATACCAACAATGGGCGAGGGGGACGGTGGGAACCTCACGAGAAGAAGAGAACCAAATCCGGCGAATAATGGCTTTTTTCGAATGAGGGAAAAAGTTTGCCACAGGGAGCCACTCGGGGGCCAATCTTGTTTCGCAAACAATACAGGGTGGTACCATAAGAAATTAATTCGAAGGAGGAAAAAAGTTTGACACAGGGAACCACTCAGGGGCCGAATTTGTCGCAAAAATAATACAAAGTGGTACCAAGATGAGTACCATCCAAGAACCAATGAGTCATGGGATGTAGATGGTACGCAGCCATCTTGTTGACCATGACGAGAAAAATCCCGGGAAACCGGTACTGCCAAAGGCGACTACGATAGTACTATGAGTGTGGCGCGTGGCGGCCATCTTTCCCGCGCTTTTGTTTCTAGAGAAAGTCTTAAGGCAGGCTTGTGGTTGCATGAAAGGGGTTTGAATAGCGGAAGTGGTTTAGAGTACTCAATAATAATAATAGTAATAACAAAGAAATAAAGAAAAAAAGGTAATTTTTTAATAATGGTACCACTTGAAAATTTTTTTTTAACAAAAATGTGTTTTAAGCAGGAATTGTAAAGCTTGACGGTGGTACCAACTAAAATCAAATAGACCAAAACACCCAATAGCAAAAAAAAATATTTTTAATGTTGGTACTAGCACAAATTTGATATATTAAAATTCCTAAGTTAATTTTTAGTTAGGTAAAGTAGTACCAACCAAAAAAATGGTCAAGTCAGGTTTGAAGTACTCAATAATAATAATAATGGTAATTATGAAAAAATAAACAAAAAACTGTAGTTTTTTGATGGTGGTACCACCTGAAAAAAAATTGAGCACTAATTTTAAAGCTTGACGAAGGTACCAACTAAAATCAAATAGAATAAAACCCCCAAAAGCAAAAAAAAATATTTTTAATATTGGTACTACCACATTAAAATTTCTAAGTTAATTTTTAGTTAGAAAAAGTAGTACCAACCAAAAAATGGTTAGGTCAGGTTCAAAGTACTCAGTAATAATAATAGTAATAACGAAAAAATAAAGAAAAAAGTAGTAGTTTTTTGATAATGGTACCACCTATAAAAATTCTCCTCAAACTGTGATTTGAGCAGTAATTTTAAAGCTTGGCGGTAGTACCAACTAAAATCAAATAGACCAAAACACCCAATAGCAAAAAAAATATTTTTAATGTTGGTACTACCACAAATTTGATAAATTAAAATTCTTAAGTTAATTTTTAGTTAGGTGAAGTAGTACCAACCAAAAAAAAATGGTCGAAAACAATGATTTAAAAATGTGTGTAGGTTTAAAGAAAAGAATTTTTTAAGCTGTTTATAATTTTTGACAGTGGTACCAACTAAATTAATAAAAACATTGAGTAAAAACTTATAATTTATAAAAATAAATCGAAACCAAAACATGAAAAATTAAGAAAATCTCCCGACTTATTTTTTAAGTTAGATGTAAAAACTTTTAGCTAAAAAAGTGGTACCAACTGACTAAATTTTCTTAAATAGAACTTTTGAGAAAGAAAAAGGTGTAATTTTTTAGTAGTAGTACCACTTGAATTTTTTTTTTACAAAAATGTGTTTTGAGCAGTAATTTTAAAACTTGACGGTAGTACCAACTAAAATCAAATAGAATAAAACCCCCAATAGCAAAAACAAATATTTTTAATGTTGGTACTACCACAAATTTGATATATTAAAATTCCTAAGTAAATTTTTAGTTAGGTGAAGTAGTACCAACCCAAAAAATAGTCGAAAACATTGTTTTAAAAAATAGGTTTAAAGAAAAGAAATTTTATTCAATAACAGAAATTTTAAGGTGTTTATAGTTTTTGACAGTGGTAGCAACTAAATTAACAAAAACATTGAGTAAAAACTTATAATTTATAAAAAAAAAATAGAAACCAAAACATGAAAAAGCCAAAAAATTCTCCCGACTTAATTTTTAGGTTAGCTATAACAACTTTTAGCTAAAAAAGTGGTACCAACTAACCACATTTTCTTATATAGTACTTTTAAAACT